AGAATTGTCTTAGATCCATTTAGTTTTCCTCTGGATTCTTTGTGGTTCCTTTTGGCCTCCTTTTGGTCTCCTTCGCCAGTGACCAATATTCTACTCATGTGCCCAGGTGGAAGGGGAGCAACAAGAGAGTTGGAGCGAATGATTGAAAGACCCGGGCCATCTTTGCAGGCTCCGCGGTTTTCCATTGTTGGATTGCCGAAAAGGGTACCGTCAAAAACACAGAAACACAGACAGAAAGAGAAAGAGAAAGAGACAGACAGAGAGACAGACAGACGGACGGAGAGAGAGACAGAGACAGAGAAAGAGACGGTTACAGACACACAGACACACAGACACACAGACACACAGACACACACACACACACAGCTTGTTTGTACCTGTCACCATAAGATGACAATTGAACTCTTCATCCCAATGAGCTGCATGGACGCACACCTCCCCCCCAAAAAACAAGTCAACAACAAGAAGCCGCCAGTATTTGGGTTTGTGTTTTGGGGGGTGAACCCAGAGGGGTTCAAAGCCGAGAGCAACGCCTTTGGACGTTTTGTTTTCACTTTCGGCCTAAAATCCCTCCAGAACACCACCAAACCACCGCTAGGTCCCCCCGTAGTGCCCTTGGGGGAGGGTTCCCCTACTAAAGTAGACAAAACCAGAAAAACATCGGGTACCAACTTATCTAATTTAGGTTATGTTCTATCATTGTGACTGAAAGCGCTGGGTTAGTTTACCCAATGGCATGGATCCTACGCTTTTTTGGTTGGGAGGGTTCCCCTACTAAAATAGACAAAACAGAAAAAGACAATGGGTACCCTTATTCTAAGCTCTCTACTAGAGGACCTAGATGCTAACCCCATATTAAATCACCCCCAGTTTATAAATCGGGGGGTGTTTTTGGGTTTGGTTGGACTCAGACCACTCTTGGCGGGGGTCGACTGTATTTGGGTGTCCATGTTGTCCCACCAAGATGGGCATCGGGATTCCTCTTCCCTGGCAGACCCTCCGAGCCTCGGATCCCACTGGCTGCGCGCGCTTCGATTCGGGGCTCGAGGATCCCCGCGGCGCAGCTGCGGCGGGAGCTCGCGGGCCCGGGGGATGCCAGCGATTCGGGAGGCGGGCGGCTTGGGCGGCTTGGCTTGGGCTTGTGGTTTTTGGAGGCCAAGGGTGCCTAGACTCTCCATGACCCTTAAAAATTGGGGTCATGACCTCTTTCTTTTGGGTAACAACCCCCACCCCATTTTTTAAGGGTCATGGAGAGTCTAGGTACCCTTTTAGGTGCAATAGGCAGGGAAATTCCTAGGGGCAGCTTCCATTTCCATTCTTTTCAGGGATCTTTCTTTCTAGAAAACCACCCAAACTACCAGAAACCCCGGGGAAATGGCGATCGGTTTTTGCAATGAGCGATGGCTATGAAGGGAATCGGAATCAACCCCCCGGAGTGAGAAATGGAATGACCCCTTCTAAGGCCATCGGACTCCGCAAGAAAACTCCTTCCCAACCGGACTGGACCAAGTCCCCGAGCAACGGCCAGTGTATCGCTGTTTGGGGTCCTTGGACACTAACTTTTTTTGTGGTTGTTGAAGCTTTGTGGATTTTCCGAATTGGACCCACCAGTTATTCACTTTTGGCAGAGGGGTCAAGAGCAACCAAGTTCAGGTTTGTAAGGGAAAGCAACAGGAAGACTATCTGTTTGGCCCTATTTGACACATTGCGGGCCAAGTCTAGAGACACCGACCACGTTTTGCGGGTGCCCGATTCTATTTCTGTGGTCTCCTTCAAATCAAGGTTGTACTTTAGGATCGAGTATACATATATGAGTATTGTTTCTGTGTTTTTGGAAGACTCGGTTCGCCGATGTTTGGTCTGTGGTCTCCCCATCGAGTAGATATGGAAACAGACTCTGACCGTGTCTTCCGAGATGTAAGCCAGGCGATCTGAGACGGTGCATTGGTTTGGATTTAGATTTGAAGCCCTACCCTCCTGTCGACGAACACGGAACCTGACAGAGGGGGCCTGCAAGACGTTTTTCCCTGGAAAGGGACCCTCTAGTGAGTTCCAGGTTAGTGGACAGGAGGGTAGTTGTTGATAAATGGGAAACCCCCCAAACCTCCAATCCAAAGCACTCGGGGGAAGCTGAAGGGGAGCTTGCCTAGATATTCCGATCCAAATCGGGAGAAGCTGAGACTCCAGGCCTACGGAGAGCGAGCCTTGAAGCAGAGATATGCGCCTTGAAGCAAAGCCCACAGGAGCAAAGGATTGGCCTCTTTCTTCACAGGGTTTTTCTTTCCACCTGGATGTGTGGTACTCTTTTTCAGAGCGAAACCGCATTCAGAAGCCACCAAATCCCCCCCAATGTTTGTACACACCCACATGGCCTGCGCGAGGTTTTTGTGCCGGCGCATGTTTGCTTGCTGGTGCTCAATAGGGAATGACCCTCTGGGTGTTGGGAATGAACTGTTTGGGGATTCCCTTAAAGGAAACCATAGGGGATGATTTTTCTCCGGGTCATTCCCTCATTCCCTGTTGAAAACCAACCAGGTTTTCCCTTTTGCCAGGTGTGATGTGGCTGCCCACTGTTGGCCACGGCGCCTGCCCCTCGGCAAAGAGTTGGGAAATCATGAGCTCATTTGTCTCAAAATGCTAATCCTCTTGTTGGTTTTGAAAAAAGGATACCAAAGGGGAACCAACAATTTGGGTGTGCGTGCGCTTTATAAGGGGACACTAAAACCAAGACAGCTCCATTCCGGGGGCCAAATCCTAGTTTGAGAATGTTTGAGACACACCTGAAGGTTCTGGACTGTCCTACGTGGGATCAAAGATTCATGTTTTTTTTGGTTGCGGGGGGGGCATGCCCTCCATATTGCTTGATCAGAGGTCGACATGACTTGTTCCTCGCCACTGGCTGTTGAGCTTTTTCGTTGCGTTGGTTTAGTGGTTGGGTTTCCGTATTTAACCCACAAGTTATTCACTTTTAGTAGGGGATCCGAAAACAGACAGCCCAGATAGAAGTATGTTCAATGGGACCCGGACCAGGTCAGCACCGGGAGGACGTGACGGAGCGTATTCGGACCTTCCTCAGCAGCTGAAGCTTGAGAAATCGCGCGACGGAAACCGTGCTGTGTGCTGAGCAAACGCTCAGGCTTTTCCTTTTTTGTGCTTGGGGCATGTGCGTGCCGGGCATTGGCTCCGAACGCGTGGCGCAATAACTTGCCAACTTGCCAACAGATCACTGACACAAGGCTGCAAAGAATAATTGCACGGTAAGACATGGTGTAAAGAAACAACTTATCCGACGACAATGTAGAAGGACTATTTACATTAAAACAAGGGCTTGCGCAGAGAGCTTCCAAATACAACACTTGCTCGGATAAAACTTGCCATATGGGGAACAAGCCACGAAAAGGCACCTGCACAGGACAAATAGCAAAGAGCTAGCCAAACATTTTTGCAATGGAACCTTTTGCATAGACTCTCAGAAGCTACCCGTGAAGATACAGTAGCTTACATAAGTTTCATGGCAGTGTGGGATCACTCGGACTTTTGGGCTTGTTCAATGGGTGTCTTTGGACAGGGTCCCTCAAAGGATACAAAGCATCAGCTTTACCAGATTTGGAGGATCACTTTCTACAGCAAGTGGTTTTTGGATGTGTCCTGTAAGAAAGCGTAAGGAAGCCTTTGGCCATAAGGAGCTTCAGATCTATTTAGTGGCAACACACCTTTTGGGATCAACCTTCAAGCTGGGTGGTGCACTCTTGCATATATGTCATGGAACCCAGAATCGTGATGAGGAAACTCCTTTTGGGGGACACCCTTTTCGGGTTGCTCTGCATGTTAATTTGCAGGGGAGTAACGAGCCCCAACTGTTTCTCCACTTTCCCAAGAAAACACGAACAAGGGATGGGTAAATTTTGCAAAACTTTCCAGACACCGTATTTGTAATGTCCTAAACATTACTCAAACTTGGCTGATTGAAATTATGGTTGGTCACGTTGAGTCGAGGCAAAGATGGCCATTCTGGATTCGAATGGACCATTTGAAATGGACCACTCTAGTTGGAATGGGCCACCACAAAGCATGTTCACGCTCTTCGAAAGCAGGTAGAGAAGGTAAGATTGCCCTTGGAACACAACCTGAGGAAGCGACCGTTGCCCGCCAAGTACAGTGGCTTTTGTCCACCCCCAAGCACAACGCCGAGGCAAGTGTTTGAGTTTTTCCGCATTGCTTCCACGCAAGGCCTGCTGAGTGGCCTGCGCGGGTGCTGGCTTGATGGAGTTTGGACCCCATTGCCTGCTGCTTCTCCTGTCTTGTCTCTGGGATCGAAGGCTATCGACGACCCCTCCGAGGCTCCTGTCAGCCAAGTGGTCTCGGTCGCCTTTGCAATTCTCCTCGGCTCGGTCGATTGTGACGAACTAAATGGAACTCTGGCCGTGGATTCTGTAAAGCCTCACGAGCTACAGCATCCATCGTGTGTTCGAGAACTCTCCACGGGCATGGTTTGCACAGCTGAGTTCGGCCCTCCAGAAAAGGGCGGCTTTCTTCGGATTTTGTCACAAGGAAACCCGAAAAGGAGTACGAGCTCCAAATAGATTCGATTCTTCGGCCGCGCCGAGAATTCGGGGCCCGAAGCCCGAAGCCCATTGGCCGCGGGCCCCGCGGGCCCCGCGGGCCCGGCAAGCGCGAGACCTTTGTGCTCTCGTTCTGCACCTGAAAAGGTGCGACTTGCGTGCGGGTTGAGTCCATCCCATCCCAATTGAGCCACAATCAGAACCCGGCTAAATGAAAGTTAGTAAGGGAAAAAACATCAACCAAAGGTGGGCGCAGCCGCCATTTCAGTTCTTTACATTGCTCTGGGTAGACCATTTGAATGCCAGGTTTTGATCATGACACGATTGTTTGGGCAACACATACCCTTCATAAGGCTCCTTATTTTCTGTCTGAACACCGAAACCCCCAAAAACACCCCAAAACTGGTCAGAACACCGAACCCTCCCTTCCCTTCGCAGGCAGATCCTAAGTAGCAGCGGCAGCGGGCGCTGGACCACCGAGACCAGCGGTGGAGAGAAGCGAAGGTCTCAGAGGAATTGAGTTGGTCCCTGCGGACATCTTTTACATGCGTCCATTCGCTGAAGCGAATATGTATGTTCCCCTTGTTTGGTTGTAAAGACTGGCCATATGTTGATTTGTTCCTTGGGGACTAAAGCAAATGGAGGCATGGGGGATTTTTGTGTCCACGAAACATTTCTGAGGTTGTCTCCCCTCAAAACCATGGCCATGTTGGAAATGCACTTAAGACAGTTCCAGGCAACCAGGGTTCACTCACAAAAAGGGCTCCCTCACGAAGGAGGGTGTGTTGGTCTAAGGGTACCCCCTTGTTTTTCAAGGGAAGCTAACCCAGCGCTTCCAGTCACGATAGGCAACCAGGTTTGCAGATCGATTTCTCCTGGCTACCTGCCTGGGTAACTGGTCAACTGCGGCGAGTGAGCCACTTTCGCAAGTCTTGGGGACAAAGACTTGCCACAAATTGGTGCGTCCAGAAGCCTTGGCTGTTGCACGGTCTTGGGCAGACCAGTTTGATTGTGACTCCAGTGACTTGTCTTCTGGGATTCTGGGAAAGACCCCAGGAATGAGTTGATGTTTCCAGGGGTCTGAATCAAATGGAAGTTTTTGAAAAGAAGGCGTTTTTGGCACAGCCCAAGCTGGGATGTCTTTCATATCCCGCATTAAAGGCCACCTCAGGCCCAGAATCAAAGATTTCACTTTTGTTTGGGGCGAGTTGTGGAGGTAGCTTTTGAATTTAGATGGGTGTATGGATCGGTTAGGCCCAAGAAGATGACCATCCTGCACTTCAACGACGTCTACAACGTGGAGGGTAGAGTCAAGGACAGAGCCACCGATGAGTTGTTTCTGTTCTTTTTTTGTTTTTGGGGGGTCTCTTGGTTGATGTACAAACATCACGCTAAAAGGGCCATCTCAACATCTGTATTAACTGTGCTTTTGATTGAGGTGAGTATTGGAGGGGCAGCAAAGGAAGCTTGCCAAGCCCATTGCGGTGACCGTTTCCTCGGTCCAAATCGACTTCCGATTCCAAGGCGGTTCCAAAAAAGACGCCTATGGCACGGGTCAACAAAATTGGGGCCTGAAACACCTATGTGCAACCCAGCGGTTGCCCACTGGTCATTGCCGCCAGAGGACAGGACCTTTTCTGAAAAGCCGGTCCCCCAAAAGTTGTGGGGGAAGGATTCGCGCCTGACTGTAACACCTGTTTTTGAGTTCGTGTTGGTTTTAAAGGGAAGCCACAAGGAATCCAATCTTTTTTGGAGTTCCATAATTTTGAGTCACACCCACCTTAGTTGCTGGCGGTTGCTTAAAGGATCACTTTGAACTCCCATGCCATGGGCTCCCTTCCAGGCTTTCGCCAACAAGAAGTAAGACGCTGTCCCATGCACATTGTCTCATCAGGGGCCTGTGCTTTGACAGGGCAAGCTTATACGGGTGCTTGACACTGGTCCCGTTTGACCCCGCCTGATTTCTTTTTGTTGCTCCGCTCTGTTCTTCGCGTGGCAAGACGTAGATTTGGCCTACAAGCAAGATAGGATGAGTCGAGCCAAACTTGCACGCAGCAAGCCCCCAATTGAGTGTGCCTTGTTGTGCAGAACACCATACAGGAATGTGCATGTCAATGTTTCCGCACAATGAGCAATGTGCAGTTGTTTGATGCTGGTGCTGCAAGGTTTGGGGTCTGAAAGTGCAATTGACGTTGGTAGTGGGCTATCAAGATCGTGTTAAGGCATTTCTTTCTGCTGGGGTTTCGGGTTGTTCCTTTAATGAGTGGTTTTCTTCATCAAAGCCAGAGAGTATGCCTTCGCCGCAGGGGTTGTTTCTAAATACACGAACCCCCCAAACCAGCGGTTTTCCCTTTTGTTTCTTTTGAAACCAACCCAAACAATTGTCAAAAAACAAAGCACATGCCACTCGTATCCCCCCACCCCCCCTCCTCCCCAATTTTGGCCCATAGTTGAAATCTCTCATTGCTTGGCTGGTTGACTGATTGTTGATTGTTACTCACTAGAAGCAAATGGGGTTTAGGGAGCCCTTTCTTGGGCGGTTTTAAGGGACCCCATATGGGTATGGGTCAAATACAACCACCAGGGGACCGCAGGTTTTAGTCTTTGGTTCCCTTTACCAGGGTTCCATTTTGGGTGCGCATTTTTGACCCACAGCCATATGGTTTTTTTTGGGTTCCCGTGTGTAGTTTCTCAACCCGCCCCCTTGGTCGTGTTCCCGGCTTTAGCGAGGAGCCGGTGGGCGGCATCGCACGCTTCGTGACGCGCATACGGGAGCTCAAGGCCCTAGGGGGTGGGGTGACTTTGTGCGTAGAGTTGCTGTGGATGGTAAAGCGAAATCCATTTCGCACCACTTTGAAACCATGGTTGAAACCATTGCTTGTTGGTATTTACGTTGGGGAGTCATCAGAAACCAAGGTTTCTGAGTTCGGTGGTGCGAAATGGATTTCGTCCATCCACAGTATGGCCAGCACGAGTCCCAGTCACCAACTAGGTCCCCCAGCAGTGCCCTTCTCGCCCCTTTTTTGGTTGGGAGGGTTCCCCTACTGAAATAGACGACAGAACAAATGGGTACCCTTATTCTAACCACTCTACTCTACTGGAAGACCTAGCCAAACTACGAACAACATTTCAGGCGCCTTCTGTTGGCAAAACCTGGACCCTCAAACTACCCACAAAAAATGGGAATGCACCAACCACAGTTTTGGGTTGTCATCAGCAAAGGCTCCCTAGGTTTGTTTTCCAATCACAGGCATTGCCGGGATGGATCCGTCATGCCAGTTCGGGACATTTGGCAGTGATTTTTTTTGAGGGGTCTGTAACAGAGCCGTGGCGGACATTCGTTACAGACCTCGTTACAGACCTCTGTAACAAAACCAGCTGGCTCGTTACACACCCCTCGTTACACACCCTCGTTACGCACCCTCGTTACACGCCCTCGTTACACACCTCAGATGAGCAAACCGGGCCAGTGACGTGACTGCCCTCCTTTTGCCGCAGCTTGGCTTGCGTTGAATAGCTGCAATCAAGTGCTTTGCTTTGCCTTGTTACAGACCTCGTTTCATAGCCGTTACATACCTCGTTACAGACCCAACCCCAGCCCGGGCCAGCGACCCCGCTTTTTGCCGCAGCTTGGCTTGCGTTGAATAGAGCTGCGGAGGCGTGCTTTGCGTGCTGCGCTTTGCTTTGCCTCGTTACAGACCTCGTTACATAGCCGTTACATACCTCGTTACAGACCCAGCCCCAGCTTTTTGCCGCAGCTTGGCTTGCGTTGAGTAGCTGCAAGCAAGCTGGTGCTGCGGAGGCGCACTTTGCGTACTGCGCTTTGCTGGCCAGCGACCCCGCTTTTTGCCGCAGCTTGGCTTGCATTGAGTAGCTGCAATCAAGTGCTTTGCTTTGCCTTGTTACAGGCCTCGTTTCATAGCCGTTACATACCTCGTTACAGACCCAACCCCAGCCCGGGCCAGCGATCCCGCTTTTTGCCGCAGCTTGGCTTGCGTTGAATAGAGCTGCGGAGGCGTGCTTTGCGTGCTGCGCTTTGCTTTGCCTCGTTACAGGCCTCGTTACATAGCCGTTACATACCTCGTTACAGACCCAGCCCCAGCTTTTTGCCGCAGCTTGGCTTGCGTTGAGTAGCTGCAAGCAAGCTGGTGCTGCGGAGGCGCGCTTTGCGTACTGCGCTTCGCCTTGCCTCGTTGCAGACCTCGTTACATAGCCGTTACATACCTCGTTGCAGACCCAACCCCCAGCCCGGGCCAGCGACCCCGCTTTTTGCCGCAGCTTGGCTTGCGTTGAGTAGCTGCAATCAAGCTGGAGCTGCGGAGGCGCGCTTCGCGTCCTGCGCTTTGCTTTGCCTCGTTACAGATCTCGTTACGTAGCCGTTACATACCTGTGCTGCGCTACATCGTGCTACTGATACTTCTTGTCAGGAAATGCTTGTGCCGTTACAGACCTGCGTAACAAGGACCTCCGTTACAGACCTCCGTAACAAGATTCGTGGCGCGTCGCGCGTTACAGACCCCTAAAAAAATTCATAGCCATTTATGTTGGCTGGGAGCTTTTCCCTGAGCCCCCCTCCCACCCAGGAAAGGTTTGCAAGGAAGATTCTGATCGAAGTTCTGATCGATCGAAGCTGTCTCGTGGGGTTGCTAGGCCAGAAATTGTCAGTACACTTATCCAAGCTAAAACTATGGTGACCCACCCAACGCATCCCACGCCGTTCTAGTACTCACTTGCTCAAAGCCGACCTTTGACCCTTTGTTTCATGAGCGAATCAACTGAGTTCAGATCGACGAGAGTTTTTCAGCCACTTGGGTGTGTCTTTGAGGGTACCCCATTTCTGTTGGTTTAAAGGGAAGCCAAAAGGAAAACCACCATTTTTTGGGGGGGGTCCGTGGCGATCGTTTCAATCGAAAGCACCAATCACTTGATTAATTCAAGGGACAAAAATCCAGTGACCTCGACCCCTTCCTGTTTTTTCTGGATGTCAGCCTACTAAAGCCAGTCCCCCCGGTTTTTCTGGATGTCAGCCTACTAAATCCAGTGAGCCTTTTGTCAGGGAAAAAATCCAGTGACCTCCCCGGTTTTTTCTGGATGTCATACTAAAGCCAGTTTGCCCGGCTTTTCTGGATGTCATACTGTGGATGGACGAAATCCTGCACCACGTAAGAAACCCTGGAATGATGATTCCCCTGTATATACCAAAAAAACCTGTAAATACCAACAAACAATAGTTTCCCATGGTTTCAACGTGGTGCCGGATTTCGTCCATCCACAGTACTAAAGCCAGTGAAGCTTTTGTCAGGTCCCTTGGGCAACCCATCGAAGCTTCGCAACGTCGGTTGGCTCGAGGCGGAATCCATGGCACGCGGCGAGCACGAGGCGTTTTGCGGCGGCGGCTTTTGCGGTTTCGGGGTTCGGGGGGTTTCTAGTGCGGGGACCGGACGAGGAACTAGGACTATTCTTTACATGGTGACTTTGGTTGGTTCGTTTCCTTTATATGGTGATTTTGGTTCGTTTCCTTTATATGGTGATTTTGGTTGGTTCGTTTCCTTTATATGGTGATTTTGGTTGGTTCGTTTCCTTTATATGGTGATTTTGGTGGGTTCGTTTCCTTCAAATGGTGATTTTGGTTGGTTCGTTTCCTTTATATGGTGATTTTGGTTGGTTCGCTTCCTTTATATGGTGAGTTTGGTTGGTTCGTTTCCTTCATATGGTGATTTTGGTTTGTTTGTTTCCTTTATATGGTGATTTTGGTTGGTTCGTTTCCTTTATATGTTGTTTTTGGTTGGTTCATTTCCAGTTGGACCCACGGGACGCTAGTTTTCATTGGCCCCTATTGTTTGCAGGTTTTGTGTTGGTTGGATGTTTGGACACACACACTTTCTGGTTGAAGTAGATTTTCCATTTGGACCCGCAACAAGTTGATTTTTTGGAAAGTGGATGTTCCATCTGAACCCGGGACAAGTTGATAGTTGAACTTTTGCAGAGATCAACAGCCAGCAAGTATCTTGCCAAGAGTAGCGTTCAAAGAAAGGCCTGTGCACTTTCACCTCAGTGGGATGGCAGTCTAGGTGAGGTTACCAGGGTGTGGCTCAAAATTAACCAGGAGGGGTTACGCAGGTTTTGGTCCATGTTTCCACTTACCAGGGTTCCATTTTGGTACCGGTTTTTTGAGTTATAGATATCATACACTGAGTCATTCCAAGTGGGTTAAGAAACCGTGGTACAGGGTTGCTGGCCGAGTCACCCAGGTGCCAGCCACTTGAGTCGTTCCAAGTTCAGCTAGCTCAGGTGTCGAAGCTGGCCGAGTGACGGTACATGGTGTCTCAAAGTGAAGCAAGAATTAGAAGATATGAGACATACTGTGGATGGTAAAGCGAAATCCATTTCGCACCACTTTGAAACCATGGTTGAAACCATTGTTTGTTGGTATTTACGTTGGGGAATCACCATTCCAGGGTTTCTGAGTTCGGTGGTGCGAACTGGATTTTGTCCATCAGTAGCTGGGTCCCGCAGGTGTGGCACGTGAAACATGCATTGGTGGTTTGTTCAAGGGTTGCATGGAGCAATAGAGCAACGGCAGCAACGTGTGTTGCGCGCCATCGAAAAAAGGAAAAAAAACTGGAGGCACAGCCCAAATGAAGCCGGGCAGTGTGTCTTTAATCTTTTGGCAGCCCGCCACTGCTTCTTGTGCGATTGCTCAAGGCTCCACGCCTTGCTTTTCTCGTCTCCACTGGATTTCAACCAAGAAACAGCCAGCATTCAAAGGTCCTTGCTTGGCTTTCTGTTGCCTGTGCCTCCTTCAAAGTGGTTCGAAACAAATACAATTTTCGGGATGTGCCCTTTTTAGGGCGGCATTCTTTCAGAGATTCTGAGCCGGTTGGTTGAAGTATAGTTTGCCTTGAGTGTCCATAGAGTTGTACCATGAACCACTGATTTCAGGGCTTCCCAGGTTTCAGACAACGCAGAGAGGAAATGGGGAGGAGACTCGACATTCAGGAGCTCACGCTGTAGGCTTTGCTACTGCTTGCACGCTGGGATATGACACCCGCGCTGTTTGGCAAACAACATATTCCGATCCGGTGCCCAGAGTTGAACCCCACTTCAGTTGAGCAGTACAAGCCAGGTTTGGCCCGTGTTCAGCTGAAGGTTCTACGGGATTGTAAAGTCCGGCCAAATAAATACCAGGTGGATGACACTGGAAGTCGGTGGGTTGCAGAGGGGCCACGGCTGGCGCATAGACCGGATGACCCCTGTCTTGTGCAATGCCTGTTATGGCGGCAGTGATAGCTGAAACCTGGCTTGGAACTGGACGCGTTCCAACATGCAAGTGCGACCAACTTCGATTTGCGTGCCCCTTTTGTTGGAGTGGTTTCAATTTGAAGCAAAGAGGAAGCTAACTATTTTTTAGGAGTCCCCCATTTAGAGACATACTTAGTTCGGTTTTGCAGGAAAGATGCGGGAAAGATGCGGGGGCTTGGAAGGAAGTTGGAAGGGTTTGGCATTCCGCTTCCACTTCCGGTGGGGTTTTCCTTTTTGAGGTTTGTCATGTTGTCTGCCGCGTGCGGAGAATTGTGCTGGTGCATGTGGAAAGTTTAGACATAGAGTGCCACTTTCTCCACTTTCTGTCATCCAAACTGGGCCCCAAGTTGCCATCCTCAACATATCTTGCTCCAGTCTGGGTGTTGGGAATGGACCGGTTTTACAAACCTTCTAAAGACCTGGTGAAACTGGGCGGTTGTTGGAAAGCCCTGCTGACCCTTTCAGGTGTCCTTTCGTAAAGGAAACCAAATCTCCGAGAGCTTTCCTATTACACCCTGGGATTGCGCCCTCTAGAGCATCACCCTTTTCTAGCCTATTGTCCAGACAAAGTTTTGGGGGTACTGTCCCTAGGGTGTAATCTCAAAATTCGATCGGTTGCTTTTCCAGGGATCCTTCTTTCTAGAAAACCACCAAAAACCTTGGGAACACAGCTGGTTTTTGAAAAGAACGATGGTTGAAAAGAATGGGGAATCAACCCCTAGAAGGATAGGACAATCCTTGGAACATCGGGGAATAGTCATGTGGAGAACGAGACCCGGAGAAAACTCGAGGCGGTGGTACTCTTCAGCGGTGATGCCTTCAACCCGTCGCTGATGCCTTCGCCCTGGCGACCACGTCTCGGGTTTGGGGGAAAATCCGCCGAAAGATGTGTGGACCCCAAAGGAGGGGAAGGGCCCAAATGAGGAGATCGTAACATTTGCACAGAGCCCCCAAAGTGATTGAGGCTTTTTTACTTGGACACTCCAAAATGTCTGGTTTCCTTCTGATCTGCCCACCGAGAAGGGTCCGATGCGAGCCCTCCCCCACTTCGGCGAATTGAACTTCTTTCAAAATGTCTCACACCTGATTCAGGTTTCCCGAACTCAGCCGGAAGTCGTTTCTTTCGACGTGCGTTTGAAGTTCGCGACATGCCAGCCGGTCTGGCAAGCGGACCGTTCCACCGGTGGGGGGGGGGGGAGAAAACCAACTGCAATCCCATGGAGGTTTTTGACTTGGGGCCGGGATCCAATCTTTTGTTTGGGGTTTTGAATTGGTGCAGACTTTGCAGAAAAACATATGAGCCAGAATCAAGCATATCAGTTTGGGTCAAGTTGAAAACTTGGGCCACCATGACAGACTCTTTTATTTGAGCCAAGGTCTACTTCGACCTACGGCAAGCCTTTCTGGCCTGCTTTAAAGCCTGCAGCGCTGTGAGCTACGAGCGCTTTTCGAACGCTCTCGAAGGCGTTGGTGACCAAAGGTGGTGGGCGACTCGCCTTTGCGAGTGGGTTCAGAGTGGTTTTGCCTTGCACAAAGAAACAACATAGCCTATCGAATGACAGAGGCGCCGCTGATTTTGTCGACCCCCAAAAGGGGCAGCCTTCGCCGCAAGGCCCTCAGAAGCCTTCCGAGCAGCTGGCGCTTGAAGAGCTCAGGTAAGACGCAGAGGTCGAGCTGGATATGTCTCACTGTTTAACGCCCAACTCGCACCAAAACCCTGTACAAACTTACCCAACAAGGGCCGAATGCCACGCAAGTACCGAAGCAACTCGAATGCACTTGAATCAAGGAAGCAACTGAGCCTACCTGCCTTGTTTTTTTAATATAAATCCACCTGTGTCCTCCATTAAGAGGTCGCGAATTTTCCAAGAAAGGGGCCATGTCTCGTGGGAAGGGAAACCAAAAGGAGCCCCGAAACCCCAAAAGGAGCCTCAAGCCCTGGGATATCGCATGTTTTGGGATCGACGGGACTTGAGCGTTTGATCAGGGAACGAGACATGGGATGACGTTTTTACATGGTTGTCCTTGGGAAACAGTTTTTGCATGTTTACTTATGGTGGTTTAGTGGTTGAAATTCAAGCACTTAACTGCTAAAATTTAGATGTTTGCTCCCCTTCCAACGTCAACCAATCTTATAAACCATCCAACTGGCTTCCTTTAAGGGGACCAACGCCTGGGTTCATTCCATTTCTCATTCCCCTACTTATCGCAGCAAGTCTTTCTCGCGCCAGGCACATGGTTAAGGCGCTGAATGCCGTAGGCGGCGGCCCCAACAAGCTTCGAACGAACGACGCTGGCAGGCAAGAGTCGTGCGAGCTGCGAGCCCGGGGAATGTCGCGACTGAAGACCCTCACCTTGGGTTGCCAGGTAGAAATGACTAATGAACAACCCGAAGGAGACACAAGCAGACACACTCATAGGCCATAGGGCCCTGAACAGAAAATCGAACTGTCGCTAAAGCGGGCGGTAGCACGAGTGGCTTTGGATCTCCCCATGATTCCCCATCATTGCCAAGACTAGGACATCCTCGAATTCAGGGTGCGAATGATGTTGTCTTGTTGCAGACAGAGTTCCTCTCAATCCACGGTACATAGTTGGTAATTAGGTGCCCTCTGATTTGAGGCTTCTTCCGGACGGGCGCCGGAAGGTCATCGAGTCATCGAGAAGAGCCCCTACTTTTGACACCTGATCATAGCATGTTGCCCTTTTTGTCTATTCAATGGACAGCAATTTGGGTCAATTTCTCGCGGCGGTGCAAGAGCTCAAGTGTAATTGAAGTGCGGCCACTGTGCGTTTGTCAAGTTGCTCAAAGGCACATTCTGTGGGGCATCAATGATTTCAGGCGTGCGTGAAAAGTGGAATGCTGTCAATGTCGGTGTAACGTTAGGAGGGTTCATGAAGCAAACACACCAACCGATGTAACGTTAGGATTGCCCTGGCATTCAACCTCCAGTAAAAGAGTTGACCCAATTTAGATGATGACAGCCTTTGGCAAGCAAAGGTGCGAGTATTGACCCAACCATTGTTTTATTGGTGGTTTGAACCCCAGGAATTCTGTTGGGTGTTTCCTGGCTCCCCACCCCCGACCCACCCACCGAAACGCCGCCCGAAACGCCAAGCTCGCCGATCGAGGCATCCACACGGCGTGCTACGGGAACCACGACTTCGACTTTGGGGTGGACCAGCTGGAAGAGCCCGGCGCTCGCGGACCGGGCGGCGTCCGTGGGTCCCACCCGTGAGGGCACGAGACTCCAGAAAACGTGTCCGGGAGATGGGGGCGCTGACAAATTTCTATGAGGTAAGCCAAAGGAAAAAAGTCACGTTGTTATCTGTAAAGCTATTTAACAACACTGAAGTGTTTCATATATATATATATATAAGAAACATACGGATAGGTTGATTTTTGTGGAAGGAAGAACGTCCAAAGTCGCGGAGGATGAAGTAAACCCTAAGAAAGCAGGGATCTCCAGCGACTAAACATGAGAAAGAGCAAAGGGATACAGACAGAAAGCGAGAAAGAGGACGGGAAAGTGGAAAGATGAAAGAAGGAGAAGAGAAAGATAGAGAGAGAGAGAGGAAGACACCGCGAGAGAGGGGAGAGAAAGAGACGAGGGGAAAAAGACAGAGGAAACAGACAGAGAGAGAGAGGGGGAGACAGATGAGAATGAGGCTTCCAAAAACTACCGCTCGCCGGCTTTGCCGGCTTTAAAAAGGCCTCTGATGTACCGTTCGCTGTTTGAACCAAAAAGCAGTCTTTGCACCCTGCGCCAGAATTGAAGACTGTTAAAGTTTTAGGGATCTACGACCATGACCAGTTTCTACGAGCAAGTCCAACCATCTAGGTTTCATGTTTCTTCATGGGGTCCATGGCGGTCCATGGATTCGCGTGGGCTCATGTTTCTCAAATGAGAAATCCAACTGCTAGACGACAAACGCCTTTGAGTGACAACTTCGTGAAGACGCGTTTTGCAGCCATGGTCTGCTGCCGTTTCGGCTGCAGGATTTCAATTAGTTTGTGTTGCCGACGTCCGAGCCGAGCAGTGTGCCCCTTTGTCCAGCCAGCCAGAGATGTCGACTGACAGAGTCGTGGAGTCATTGAAGTTCACGCGCATGTGCAAGTTGCTCGCAGCACAAATATCGGGCGGCCTTTTTCCGTTGGGAGGGAGCAGCGAAGAGGTAAGTCCTGTCTGATAGATTTGCCTGGACCCTCAAAATTGCCATAAAAATGGTTGATTGCAGTGCAAAATGATGGTTGGTGAATTCCATTTGTTTTTAATGGGTTCTCTTTCGGGTCCAGGTACTTTCAAGGTGGGAGTTAGGGCTGGATCCGAGCTGATCCAGTAGGATTTCCAAGCAAAGCCCGAAGCGAAATCGGACGTTTTCGGGTCATGTCCCAAGTTTCAGGGTGTAATTTTAGAAATAGATGGAATGGGTGTCGTTGCTAAGTGAGCCACAATCAAAACCCGGGTAGATGAAGCTTAGTAAGGGTCAGTCCCAGCCAGAAATAGTTGCAGCCGCCTTCTTACTGTATTTCTTTACATGGTTCTGGACCATTTTAATTCCCGGGTTTTGATTGTGACTCAAGATTGAGCAGGACCAATCCATGGATTCCACCGATCCGGTCTGGTTCCTTTCTGGTTCCTTTCCGAAAGCCCAGTGGAAGCCAAATTGCCTGAGATTCGGAACGACCGTCGTGTTTTTTGGTCCGAGTGGTTGGTTACCCTTTTTCGGTGAAGGGCCCAAAGACTGGTGGGTCTGGCTGTCAAGACATCGGACCCCGCAGCCCCAACATGACGGTTTTCGGTATTCCTTTTAGTTTCCTTCAAAACCAGCAAAAAAAGGGAGTGCCCCTCCAAAAAAGAACAAACCATCAAGACTTCTCGGTTTTTGAGGCGCTCTGTGAAGGTTCCGCGAATGGATCGTCTTCCTTAGCCATGGATTTATGGAGGTTCCGCATCTCTGGATGCCGGAAAGGCGCCTCTAGGGCACCTTTTTGGTGCATTTTGCTAGCATGTTAGGACTGAATAACTTTTTGCCAACTAATGGGTTTGATTAATACGAGTTCTCATTTTAATGGAAAGAACCCATTATTAATCCAACCCAACTTTAACTTTAACTTTGGGTTTCCGTATTAAACCACTAAAAGTTAGATAAACGTTTAGCAAAGCAGATTTCGCAACCGAGTTGTGCCTGTGTTGTTCCCTGAGTCATTCGCGGAAGCTAAACACTTGCTGGTGCGATAGGCAGGGAGTGAGACATTCCTGAAAGGAAACCACGAACGGATGGGGTTTTCTCGGGGTCATTCAATTTTATTTTGCCCTTCTCGCACCAGTTATAAGCCCTGACTTTTGCCCGAAGGTTGCTGAAGCTTTCGCTTGCGCAGATTCCATTGGATGCGCAGTTCAGGACTTTGTGGCATGTGGAATATGACCTCAGGTCCTGTACAGCTGTGACCTGAGCCAGGCTAAACGGAGCCGACTGTTTCCGGGTTGCCATAGAACTTTTCCGCCAAGATGCTCTAGCTGGGTGCTAGCCCTTTGCGGCTGCGTAACCTGAGACTAATCATGACTAAGCGCAGGCTGAAGCACTGGGCAAGTTGGAACCGATGTCTTCCAACAGCTGGGTTTGCCGTAAACCATGCAGTCAATATGGGTGGCTCGTCTGTTTTAAGGAATCGGACCTCCACATGGTGGTTTTCCTTTTGTTTCTCCTTTTGGTTTCCGTTTAAAGCCATGAAAACAAAGTACCATCCCAAAAAGCAGAGACTCCCATCATATATTGGTGAATCAAGTGGAACCAAGTGTCGCCCGCTTTTTCCTAAGCAATGCCTATGTTTAGCTCGACACCTGGCTGCCCAGGTTCGTCACATCAGGACGTTGCTGCAGGGGCGGCACTTGCAACTTCGCCCACACCGAAGCCGAGCTGCGGCCGCTGCCTGACCTCATCGGAACGAGGCACGGACAGACTTGCTGGTGCGAGAGATGCAGGCACTTGGTGCTCAGCGGGAATGAGAATTGGAATGACCCCTAATGTTGACCCCGGATTAATAAACCCCGATTTTGTTTTATGGGGGTGTTCCCCTCCAAAAGTGATAAATCCCCACTACAACCGGGGACACGCCCATATTAATAAGCCGGGGTTTATTACAGTAATCCGGGGTCAACATCACATACCCATCCAGCTAGTGGTTTCCTTGAAGGCCTCGGGTTCATGCCCCACATTCCCTACTTCTCGAACCAGCAAGAGGTGGAATTGGAAGCGGGCATCACAAGTTAGCACGAGCTCAAAGCGAGCTCCATAAAGGTCCGTGAGGGATCACTCCTTTCGGGTTTCCAAGTATTGATCTGTGCCCGCGGTTGACTAGGTCCCCCAGTAGTGCCCTTCTCACCCCTTTTTTGGTTGGGAAGGGTCCCCTACTCAAATAGACAAAAAAGAAAAATGGGTACCCTTATTCTAACCTCTCTACTGGAGGACCTAGTTGAGCAATACTCCGGGCCCCCAAATGACCATGGCCCATGTGGGAATCATGATCCTTTTAGTGGTTGTCCAACCACTGGTCATCCCATGAAAATCACCTTTTGATGAACCCCCATATGATTTCCTTCTCAACGCATGAGAATTCAGCCGACTTTTGCCATCTCTGAGTAAGGCTAGATGTTTCTATGCATCCAATTGGCAGCACTCATGTGGGTGTGTCTGTTTTTAGGGCAATTTCCAGAATCGCCGCTTTCCTTTTGGCTTCCCCGAAGAAAAATACAACAAGGCAAACCCCCCCCAAAAAAAACAAAGCAGACCCATTTGTCTCAAAGTGGCCCCCGCGCCGGAAAGTCCACTCATTAGCTGACATGGCGGTCAGCTACGGTGCCGTCGATTTGAACTCTTCAGCCGCGCTGAACTCTTCACCAAAAGGACTTTTAGAGAGGGGGATTTGTGTGAGTCCCTCGGTGCGTCAAAACAGGGGGAGCGGGCCCAAGAATTTTCGGCTGTGACCAACTGAAGGAAACACACGCAGATTATTGTGACGCCACAAGGAGGGGTTTGTGACCTTATGCATGTGTACAGTCCTTTGATGAGGCAACCCTTATGGGTATGTGTCAAAAGGGCGACCGCAAAATGGGTGGTCTTCCTTTGGGTTTGCCTTTTAAACCAACGTGAAAAGAGTATTCTCAAAAATCCCGCAGCTTGATGTTCCACGACATCTTCAAGGTTAGTGCTTGGCTTGATTCCAACACGCCGGGTGTTGCGTTTCATGAGAAGGTCATTCCTCAGATATGTTTGTCCCACGTGATAAGTATCCTTGTAGTCAATGACGCAAGGTATGCAGTGCAACTGAGAGGACTTTGCAAGCTTCCCAACTGTCTCCCGTATGAGGTTTTTCCAGCAGCGCGGCGATCACGGGAGCAGTCCGCGTTAATGAGAGTCTGTGTGACTGTTTGCGAAGGTTGGGGGTTCCTTTTGGTTGGATTGTAAGGGCCACGAAAAGCTCCCCCCTCTTACATTCTGGATTCATGTTTTTTTTTGTTTTTCTCAGCAACATGTGCGTGTGTGCTCCCAGAACTCTTTGGCCATGCCGAGTGCAAGCGAATCATGACACGCAGTGCTTTTTGTTGGCACCCAGTTCCACCAATGAAAATCGCTCAACCTTTGGAGTGGCTTCGGATCTGACTGAACCACTTTCTGGTCTATATCCGGTTTTTCGGATACCCACCAGGAAAGCTGTTGATCGGCCCGTCCCACCTCTTTGCAGCGGATTTTCCGCAGACCCACAGGAAGCTTCCAGGCTCTCTCTCTCCCCAGCCTCCGGGCCATCCCGACTCCCGACGCCTCGCTCAACAGGCTGTGCGCCCAATTCGCAGCTTCCAGACACTGCCGCCCGGGACCCGGAACCCGAGAGATGGACAGCTGGTGCCGGGTTCGTTGTTTTTGTTTTTTCATTTGCTTGCTGCCAGGAAATGTGGTTGAATGAACCCATTTGGTCCCCGAAGAATGGCAATATACCGCCCATGCTTGGGTTGCCGGGTCACTTGGTTCTAGGGGTTGATTCCGATTCCATCCTTTTCAACCATCGTCCTTTTCAAAACCGGCTCCGTTTCCCCCTTGGGTTTTTGGAGGGTCTCCTGAAGAGGAAATGGATCCCTGGAAAGAGATTCGGACATGGAAGGTACCCCGAGAAGATGGCACCACCTCCCGATG